AGCCTATCTTGTACGTGAAAGAGGTGGCTAACGAGTTTAGGGCCAACGGGTAGTGCCTCTCCTACTCATTGAACGATCCCTTTCCCTGCTTAAGGGACCCCGATTACTGTCACGGGGCCATGTACCAACGTGCTTGGGCACCCCATTTGCGGTGGTATCAACATAAAGGTCTGCGGGGTGACGCTGAGGGTGAGAGCCTAGAGCTACCACGTAACAGGCTTCGTGATCAGTGGGATCGTTGAAGATGCTCTGAAGTGGCCTGTTCTACTTTATTTACGCGAGTCAAAATTTGCCGCCACTTGAGTCGCAATGGCACTAGATTGATCGGTTCTGTCGACTATTGCAGACAAATTAAAGCTTCTGAAACCTAAGTTCACAAAGCAAGTTTGTGTCAACCCCAAAACGGGCGAGCTCTTGCTGCATGTTGAGCAAGAGTTGGGAGGGCTTAAGAGATCTCAGAGTCGTTCTATGGACTGCGTTCCTGGTTTCCTCTTGGGTAGATAAGCGGGTACGGCTTAATACAGCGTCCCGGAGAGTCTCGTAAGGACGCTCCTCTGAGGCGGTATTTTTGATATCCACCTCNAAGGTAAAGCTTGCAACACATGATGAAATTTAGAATCGGACTGAGTAATGCCTCTGATGGAAGAATTGGGTTCGACCACCGAAAACCATATAAAAGGATTTTCATGACAAAAAGGCGGATTAGTGAAATTGACCACGTTTAGAACTACCGGTTGCTACTTGACAGGGGTAATTTTCTTTGTATCGATCATGATTTGGTATATAGCAGACCAGAGAAAGTCGAAAATAGAAACGTAACAGTAATTTCTTAAAAATACCCAAATCGAGTAAAACGGAAAAATATTTCATAAAAACGTTATTTAAAAAAATTAGAGAAATAGAGGAAAATAACACGGGTGGTTATTGAAAAGGAAAAGTTATAAAAACTTACCAATAACCTGAAAAATGGAATGGGCTCACTAGTTTAGAGATAGAGGATGAAATATCACGACCTGCGACAGCTCTCCGGTCTCCAATTCTCCCGTGCTTCTCGATCACCCGGTATGAATCAGGAAGAACAACCGGTTAGTCAAGGGAAAGCATATTGTTCCCTGAAAGAACCGCAGTTTAGCCTGACTACGCTCGAGAGTATCTGAAAGCAAAAGTGCTTAGCAAGCGAAGGTGTAGCACGGAACTCACGCACCGTTTAATGCGACGTTACTTCACCGGAGGTGATAGTGACTTAAACAAAGATCGAAGACCTAACTGAAGAAACGGTTTCGGGATATCAAAGATCCTAGCAGAATCTGTGCTACAAAGAAGAAGGATGCACGAGCGAATGCTTCAAGCAACCAATGCTGCCACCATGCCAAAGCATACGTGCGGAACAGGCAGACCAAAGATGTTGACAACGCTATCGGTCTCCAGCATCTACAACCTATCCGGAAAGAAGGTAATTCGGGATCAGGTTCTAGACGGAGTATATTTTAACGTTTGGCTTCTCTAGTATGTATACTAGTGTATACGGCCTTCTCGAGCCATACGAAAAATAATCCTAGGTGAGGGATGCCAGTTACATGTCTTCATGGATGCATCGGAGGTAGGATATGAGGTAGCGGCCTATAGTTGTCCTTTGCAACGTAGTAATGCGTGACGCAGTAGTTGCTTATTTGCGAAGGCTGAGGTTGGGTCACTCAAAGACGTTTTAATCCACAGATTAGAATTGACCGCAGCGGACCCAGCCGTAAAGTTGTTCAAGATGCTAAATAGGCCTTTTAATTAATTCGACTTGGTCGTAACGTACTGGACCGACTCAGCACGATGTGAACAACGTCAATGCGCGATTCAGCACTTTCTTCGTAAATCAACTAGCCATCATCCACTAGGAGACTGAAGTGCACCAACATGTGGAGTTCATTGACTATTCGGTCAACATCTATATAATTTGGGCTATGAATTTAGGATGGATTGAGGCATGATTGAAGGGCCTACAAATTCTAACGAATTCGAGAGATGAATTACCCGACACCCTGATCCCCCATGTTTTTATGGCGGTGCTGGAAACAAATAGGACCTTGACATTAGTGCCTGCTTTAACCAACGCATTGCTGCAGAGATTGTATCTCTTTTTACGATGGACAAAAGTGCTGCGGGTGGTCTTCTGGTGAACTCGGTTCAAACGACAGGACTCTGATCAAACGGCACTTTGACCCATTGTCTCAGAGGAACTGAAAACAGCAGAAGCCGATATCAATCGCATGGTTCAATCATCGCAGCTCCCTCCAAAAGCGCTGTCCGATATTGATATTGATACCGCAAGAACGCTACGTTTGGTAAACAATTGATGGTGTCCTTACCAAGTTCCCGAGTGCGCCAAGGCTGGTACCCCTTCGCCGAAACCGGAATGGATTACTCCGGGCTACTGTGGGTGAAACGCAATACATCGACGAAAAAACAGTATGTCTGCCTGATGGCCTGTCTTTGGTCACGAGTGTTACGCTCAGAGACTGTCCACAGTATGTCGACTGACTTCGTGGGAAGGCGCAGCAATCCATCGAATGTGTTCTCGGACAACGGATCCAACTTCTTCGGTGCCTAAAAGAAATTTGACCAACTGGCTGAGGCAGTTTATCAAATCCGTTCGACAAGATCAGCTGTTGCATGTTGGGACCCAATGGCACTTTAACCCNCTTTAACCCACCCTAGTGCAGTCAACACGGAGGAGTGTGGGAACGGCTCATCTGATCTGTACGGAGAATTATGACGGTATTATGTGCACAACAGGCAATCGACACCGAGACATTGACTACATTCTCAGTAGAGGCAGAAAGAATAATCAATAACAAACCGCTCGTATCTGTCTCCAGCGATGATCTAGAAGAAGTGCCATCGACACCAAGTGACCTCCTACTACTCAGTCCAATACAGGCTTGGGAATGCCAAAATTTAATAGTGGTTGTCATAAGTCTGGATGGAAAAGTGCAAACTACTTGGCAGGAGCTTTTGGAATCTTTGGATCCGAGGGTATTTGCCAACCGTATAAACTCGACAGAAGGGAATGCAAAGAGAACGGCCGATTGAGACTAGAGACATCATTCTTTCGGGAAGCTACCACGCAACAGTTGACCATTGGGTACAGTCATCGAAAGCCACACGGACCCAGATGGACCGTTACGAACAGTTAAATTGAAAACATCTGCGGGTGATCAGATATGCGACATTAATAAAGTATGCTTATCGGAAGGAGATAATCGGCATATTACCCCTGAATGAAAGGTAGGGATATCCGTCATATACAATATAGTTTTATATATTCTCGACCGTTATTCACACCGCAACACTATTACATCTCACCTGCGCATCGCACTCAGTGCATTCACGTCCCTACAACGAGGCCTCAAAGTTTTGTTCTTATGACCAGTTATCTTTTTTCTGTTGAGTCACAATTTAGTGCACGGAACTCAATGGTGTTCCTGTAGTGATCGTAGTAGTAGGAATAGTAGTAATACGCACGAAAGTTGGAACACGAAGAACGCAATAGGAATCACAGGACACGAATCTAGGATCAGCTATCACGGACTGGATTACGGAAGCACTGGACCCCAATGTCACGAGCTCAATATTCCACGTGAACGAGACGCGAGGAAAAGACCACAAGAATGGTAACTCGGTTATTGGAAGAAATGAGGGCGTTTGAATAATATGTATAGAAGATCTTTGGTTATCTAGGCTTCCACCAATCGTATGGGAGTGTTGCTTGCAAACTTCTGCTTCTATCTGCACTGTCTCGGATTGGATGGCACAACCTGCCTATGGCGTATAGTCAGAAGCGTGACGCGTACGCGCTTCATTGCCGTCACCTTTCAAATTGGATTGATCACAGGTGTCTTTCGTATCAAAGACTCTATCTGTAACCGTCAATATTCGGTCCATTACTATCTTCATAGTGTGGCTAACTACAAGCCTGCTGGTAGAGACGGCAGGCCTCAACGAGTGGAAATACACGTCATCAAAGATCAAGAACGAAGAGACCAGTGTCGATTGAATCGTCGGTAATAAGAAGCACTAACAGCAGGGACTAGGTAGATTAATAATAATAATAATAATAATAATAATAATAATCAGTGGCCTGCACCAACCCTTGGACTCTACCAAGTGCAGGAAAGATTTTTGAGACCGGTGTATGCAATGTGTATTGGGAAAGCTCTCACAACCCCCAACGAATCTTTTTGTCAAGACTCAGTTCGTGTCTCACTTATTTACGGATGTATGTTTGCACACACACACACGATCGTCCACAAATGGTTGTTTATCTGCTGAGTGAATGCCCTCCACAATTCAATGACGGCGTGAAGAGATATCGTGATTGATGTGTTGGCTCACGGTGGACACCTTATTTTGTTCTCAATCGCATGACTACTTTTGGCTGCATATTTGCGGTTTGCTTTGTTGTACACTTTATAATGTTTTCCATACCTAGTACCTTAAAACTGCGAATCAATCGTGTTTTATTTTTGGATTTGTATCGACTTTGGCTACTGGTCACTCCATCGCGATTTGGGAAGGAGATCTTGTGATCTAAGGAGGCTGGAGGAGAGGATTGGTTCAAGTAGATAGCTATTCCACCTGCACGGTCTTGGTTTAATTCGCTCCACAAAACCGTTTGACTTATTTGATTTATCCTTCCAATAGATCATGTGTTAGCCACATTTTGGTTAAAGTTTGAATATGCAAATATGCGCTCGAAACATGGACTTACGTCATACACTTTCATTTGACGCAGAACCGAGCTTTTATTCAGTGGTCGAGAGGCATCTGCGTCTGTAAGCGCTGAACATCTAGGATAAAAAATTGCTAGCTCGATCATTAACGCGTCCTGGCTGTTCGACTGACAACAAACAGGTGGGATATTCAATGTTCCGTTGGATTGGACTCACCAGGTTGTATGTGGTGTTATGCCAACGAGTGGGTGATCTTCACTGAAACCGATAGTCTGAACGCTACGGTCGTCGCATTTCTCGGCCTCTGTGCAACGCCTGATGTCCAACTTCTTTCCCACCATCGCGTCCCACTGTCGTACATTCTCGAAGTTTTGATGTAGCCGCCTCCAGCTTTTCTAGATCTTCAATACGTTTGACCGCTGTATCCAATTCAGATTGCGGGTGCAAGAGCAAATGCCGTCGCACGTTACTTGATCTGGTCCCCTCGACAAGTTGTTCCAGCAGCATCTTCTCCAGTTCCGGAGCGAATCTTTTTCCCACGCCCTACTGGCCATTCGCCGCAATTCTCACACGAAACTTCACACGCCATCTCCGCCTTATCGGTGGCGTGCGTTAAACTGTCTTTCGTATTCCATGGACAACAGTAAATCTAGTAGCCGTCGGAAGCCCACAAATATTTCTGTTGTGACACCTCCCTTCACGCAGGTTGCTTCGGTTATGACGTTGAAGGTTTCACTACCGAGCGAAGATAACACAAAGTTTGCATGACGTTCTGGTGGAAAATTTTCAAGGTATTTCCTCACCTGCTTCCCCCACCGCTGAAGTTGTCTCCAGTGCTGAACGTCTTCCGGACCAAGCAGGATGCTGTTGGTTCCATAGCGGATAGCTTTTTCAAGCCTTCCGTCAGCGCACTCAAAACACTCGCCAGCTGCGTGCTGTTTGTGTCTACCGTCTGTGCGGCCGAGTCTTCACTTTTCGGAGTCTTCGGCATATTCAGGGCCTTATCCTGGCAGGGTCGCCAATTTTGCAATAGACAGTCACGGGAGAAGACTCGTAAAGAATCGGAAAATTGTATTGTACGTAACGGCACTGAAAAAAGTACATAGGAAAATGTACATGGGGTAACTGGACATTACGTGAGCCTTCAATTGTCTCCGAGTTCTTTGTCTGTGATTTGGCGATCCTTCACTGTAGTGGTAAAGATCGGAAAGGCAGCTCCGTCAGAAACTCGGCCTAATTCAAATAATGTTTTCCTCTGGAACACACCAGCAGTGCAGGCAGTCATGGATATCACTAAATGTGTAAGTATGTTCTTAAGCAAGCGCTGCGCTCACACCTTTAATGTGTGCAGCACATCCCAACTTCGGACTGAACTCTATTGGAATACGTAGCCCGGATTGCGTGCCTTGGGCGTGTGGGTGATCGTAACTCCCTCGAACGAGTTCAGTGAGCAGCCACAAAGCTAGTAGGAGGTCTCTCCTATGTCCCATACACCACCCGTCTCGTCACACTGAACCTTTATCCTCTGACCTCCCGCGGCATCAGAGATGACCTTATCCTTCTTACCGCTTATTTTCTACAGACATGGTCAACCGGTTTTTCACCCTTTGTAGCTTAGATACGTTTAGTGGTCAAAGAAAAAACCTGTTTAATCCTCGGCCCCGTATCCGAGTCCGTAGAGTTACCCGTAGAGTTATTCCTTTTTGGAACAGCCTCCCGCAGGAGGTTATTGACGCGCCTTCAAACAGCATGTTCAAACACAAGCTCGATATCTTCCTTGTTCTTAAACGCACTACCACCGATTTCCATTAGTTGCTCCCTGCTGATCTGTTCATCTACCTCTCAGTTCATCGCGTTCTCGTTTTAAATACTTTTATTCCAACTGAATTGAGTTACAATTTCTGTTGTTTTCTTGTGCGTACAAAAAACGAAACCGCTGAAAAAACAAAGCTTTTTTGAGAATTGTGCGTCATCAGTTTCCTTCGTATCCCTGAGCGTGAATCATCTTGAATTTGGCGGACGTGTATTTAGAAATTTATTTACAATTCAGACGCGCATAGTTGTACACTGCAAGAAAATACTGCACCCCACCTCTCACATCTTCCCTTTCAGATTCTTCCTTGCAATTAGCGGAATCTCCATCTCAGTCACCCTCACTAGCAGGCCATACTCTCACCATCTCGTCATTGGGCATTACCCATCAATAAAAAACCGTCAATTTTCCAAGATACGGGACCATTGGGTTTAGCCTCGAACCCGTGAAATACTTCAGGACTTCAGGACTGCACCCTAGGCACCCAACACTAAAACACTCTTAGGTGAAACAGAGAGTGTGATCCTCAACCTGGTACGGAATGCGGGTGCAAGTATCGAAAACGGCGGAGACAGCCGCGCCCAACAAACATTGCTGGAGCCAGATTGTCAGATGTTTGAAATAACCTTGAATTGTTTTAATAAACCCGCGATCGGATGCTACGCGCTTACTCATTTTCCAACCAACTAGAAGCAGCACTGCCCATACAGAAGCTGTACAACGCCAGAATTACTGGCACGCAATTAGCAGAGGCTTGGATGGTCAATGAACTTGTTTTCGAATATTATTTATATCCTACGATTTCCTTCA